CGATGCTCGCTCGTGTTCGGCTCGTTTGCACCCCTACTTAGAACTGAATGAACATAAGTGAAAATGATCTGCATGTTTCATGATTTACATTCTTTTATCTTTTATGTTGCAATAATTGAAAGATTAAATGAATTTAATTATATAAAAAAAGAAATATAAGTTAAATCAAACATAAATGATTAAATATATCAGAAGTCATCCTCTATGGTACTAGCAGGTGATGTTATTACACGCTTGCACGTTAAAAGAAATGGAAATGGGTGCAAGATGAAAAATAAAATTAAAATGATTGTGCCTTTTATGTTACAAATGGAAAATGTTTTGATAGTGCTCCTAAGATTGCTTCTTAAAATAAAAGGAGATGGAAAACGAAAATATTAAATGAAAATAAGAATATAATTTAAGATGATTAAATGAAAATTTATAAAAAATGAAAAAGTCAAAAGTATACTTTATGATCAACACATTTCTTTAAACATCAATGTTAGACATTTGCATAAAATTGAATACATAATAAAATTGAAATTATTCACTAAATTATTTAAACTCAATATATTATTTAACTATTATTTTCAAAAAAATGTTTGACAAATTGATATAACTAATAGGAGATGATTAGTTTACAGTAGAAACAGTGTTGGTGATGACAAGTAGCAGCCTATTTGTTACCACCTTTATCCCTTTTATTGTTTTACTTGTTCTTCTGATATGAATTGGATGATCTTATCATTTTGTTAGAGGATTGCTTACATGTGTATTGTGGATTTAGTGACTTTTTTATACGAATGTTATTGTGAACTAAGGTTAATGCTTAGTCCAACTATCCATTCTCGAAGTGGTTAATTCTAAATTCTCAGGTCGGATCGTGACAGATCTTGAACCTTTTTTGTGCATCCATATTCCATTTGATCTATATTTTTTCTTCATAATCTTTCGATATTAATTTTCTTTTCATAATAATGGCCGCACACCTTTTATCCTTTGTTGAACATATGCAAATCATTCAAATTTATTTTTGGTTGCTATATCTTAAACAGATATTAGTCTGCTATGCCTTACTTCTCAACTTAGGTTAGTGACTTTTTGATGCCAAACACTTATAGCCATCTGCCATATGACAGAGTTTGCTCACATAAATTAATTTGAGAAACCTTAATGTTTTCATGATATTTCTTGAGTAGGGCTATCAAAAAAGCTTACTGTTTGTGTTTGATTCCATGGATTAAAAATTAGCTCAACTTTGACTAATTTTTATAAGCTTGTAAATTTAATGAGCCAAGCATAAGCAATATCTTGATTGATAATGTTTGGCTCAACAATCGCTTAATTATATTTCTATATACGTAAAAAAAGCATTTATATGCATGTGTGCATGTATACTTGATGTGTTTATGCCAATTTGCATGTGTGTACACATGTATAGATTATGTATATTCATATTCATACATTTACATCTGCATGAATATATGTACATACACCAGACAACATTTATAATTTGTAATTTATATGTGTCTCTCAAGTAAACTTTGTGTTCTATGAATGACACGATGAAGACAGAGAGCCAGCCTAAAACTTCATATCACTAAAGGTGAACATAATAAAAACACGATGAAGACGGAGAGCCCGGCTCCCTGCCTAGCAATTTCAAGCTTCAAGACTAATGCAGTTTTTCCTCACTTTCTTTTTCCCTAGCAAAATGGTTGACCATTGGAAATAAAAACCAACATTCAAACTAAAAATGCTAAAACTACTCCACATAATATGAAACAAAATATACCACAGACCCAAAAAAAGATAAATATACAACAAAATTGCATTTGCTAAGGTATCTAAATGGAAATGCTGATCAGATAGTAAAAAATGGATTTAATTTCACATTCTATAGACCACATTTCGAAGAAAGGCACATGGCCAAGTTAATTAAAATCATATGCCAATACTCAGTTTTATGTCAAAGCAATCCACTATAAATGAAAGAACAATTCTTTGAGAAAGAAAATTCTTCCATACGTCCTGCCCAACAGCCATGGACCCTGCCCCTCCTATTCTTCTTTATCAGAAAGCAAAGATGCATGAAAGCCAGGGAAGAAAACATGTACCTTTGGAATGCGTTCTGGGTTGGGAAAACGCAGGTTCTGAGCATGGAGCATCTGACGTTGACTCATTAACATGTTCTTCTCCTTCAAAAGTACATACCATAGCTTCTGAAGATCATCCCAGGATTTAAGACGCAATTCAGAAGCTTTCCAACCACGACCTGTGCAAATTAGAAAGTTTAGATGTAATCCAGCTGAACTAATATGTATGACACAATGTGCACATTTCCAAATCAGATTTGGACAAGGAAAAATCATACAACCATATTAAAGAAGAGAAATCAACGAAAAATTAGAAAATGATTTACCAATTCCAGATTTTGACTATGAAAAAATCCCAGAATGAGGAATGCCAACTTCAAAATCAAATAATCTAAAACTATGCTCAATAATCTCCATACATATGAAATTAAACATAAAAGTTTTACTAAATGTATGTTTCCTTCCTAAGCATTTCAAAATCATAGCATAAAACAGATTATAAGGGGCATTTTGATGCTTCCCCATCCTTCGCTTATATCATAAAAGATGAGATGTTGACAAGTTCATAACTTTGGTTTTTAATTACTTCTCATTGAAAAGATAATTTGAGAAGTAAAGCTCGTACTGATGTAAGAATGACCAGAAACACCATCTTTTCTCATGGAAATCTGATATAAGGATAAAACAGAAAAATAGAAATCTTGCTTCGGTCAATCCCCATCAAAAAGCATATAGCTTTGCTAATCATTAAACACCAGGAAGTAATCTCGAGATTGTGAATTTCCATTTGATCAATTATAACTTCCAGATAGGCTAGCCATCTCCCAGTTATACACACCTCACATGCCAATACGTGTGGTGTATTCCATAGATATGTTTGTAGATACAAAAGAATTTTGTAAACGTCTCCAGTGAGACCAATAGTAAGATTGACCTCCCCTTAAACATTCACAGGTCTCAATCTAAATCCTATCTTTAGAAACCCATACCATAATCACACCCTGCAGCCACATAAAAAAGATATAGGTAACCCCAATTAAAACCGATAGAAACACATATAACAGACTCACATCCATAATTGACACGTCAATTACTACCTATACCTATAATCTTTTAGACGTTCACCTATTCATGGGAAATCCCAATTTAACTACCTGTAGGTTGAGTATGATCCCCCTAACCAAACCTATAATAAACTTGTACTAAATCACTGGTGGAGCCTTTATCAATTTGTTTTGTTCCGGCATGGGATAATTGATTGAAACTCAGTCCATCTCCCAATTTAACTTTTATTGGTGGAGATTATTCCAGGCAAACAAAAATTCAGATAAATTTCTTCTCATTCCCCGGAAAAGTACAAACTCCAAATAAACCCCACCAAATAAAAGCACGGAGTGGGCCTGTAAAGCCACACGTCACTAATGGGTATTCTAATGTAGTTCTCTTAAAAAATTCTAAACTTGGCCTACGCAACCGAAACTAAAACATCAATACATAGTTAGTTCTGAATCTCATAATCAGGTCACTTTATATGGCTCCTTACTCAAAGAAATCCATGAATACAATAATTTGTATGGTATAATATGATTTAGACATCTTAAGAATGCAGGATGGACCCTAAAAATAAATTAGTTGAAATGAACAACCACGCAATTTCAGTTACTAATTTATCTCCCCTATAGGTCAAGCTTGAATTGAGCCATCAACAACTTCAATACTGCAACTTGTGTTCGCAACTTCGCCTCTCTATTCCATGAGTTAAGCTCAGCAAAGACTTCTATAAGCTTGCATTCATGGCTTGCAAAAATTTTTGCAGATGGTCTTCTAGCCATTAGAGTGTCTTTCAAAGCAATGTTGGCTGCGAGTTTACAATCTCTCTTCTCATGAGTTATTCGAGTCCAAACCATTGTGAATTGGGTCCCTGTGAACTCAACTACAGCATCAATACCATTCCCAAGAGACTGTCATCTTCTTCTGCAGTATGTAGGAAGCATGCTAACAATTTCGCACCTGATTGGAGCAAGGTCATTGTGATTCAAAAACTTTGAACTCTAGCTTTAGGATTCAGTCTGCCTCTGGTAGGGCTCTCCTTATCAGCATTAATAGAATATGTTAACGACTTAGTATAGATGATAATTAAATTTTTTTATAAATTTTTAAATAATTTATGATAGTGAAAGAGGGTAAGAATCAACTAAGGTGAAAACCCTTGCTTAGCCAAAACGTCCAGGCTAGGTTTCCAGATTTAGTGGATTATCAAAATGATTTAATTAAAGGTGAAAACTATAGTATGTGATGCAGGGATATGTATAAAGTACTTACAAAATTTGTGAAAATTTTTAGAGAGATTTAAGAGCTCTAAAGGTCCATGAGAAAAAAACTTGGTAATGTCTAGTCCTTCTAACAAAATTTTAATATGAAATGGATAGGATTTTTGTAGATTAAAGTAAAAAAATTATAGTAAAATCACTATAAAGGTGTGGTAGAATGATTCTACAATAGTAAAATAAAAGAAAATAAAAAACATAAAATGCATCTACTCACAAAAATAGCATAAGAATGAAGACTAGCCAACTAGTAGTCACTTCTATGAAAGTTCGCCACTAAGGCTCCTCCCTTGAGTTTCACATTTATAACCACTCTAAAACTTCAATACAAAATGTTAATAATCTTTTATTACAACAAAACAATACCTATTAAAGTATTTTACATCATGAAAATTTAAATGAAAAAGAGATGAAACAAAAAGAAGCCAACCTAAGGAAATAACCACTCTCAACTTGGTATAGCCGGCCACTTATACTCCTAAGTCACTCCAAATATAATGGTTTAACTTATTGCAACATAAAATATTGAATAAAAGCCCAAAATAGTTCTCTGACTATCAACAAGTGATTAATTTAGTCTCGGAGCTTTAAAGTGCTCCACTTAAGTCCCAAACAATCAAAAATTGATTCGAATTAGTTCTTAGATTGAATTTCATAGTTAAAGTTAACACCACCTATTAAAGGAATAAGAATTTAAAATAAAATTTTATTTTTATTATTACTCTATTTTCACATGTAATAAAGTACTTCTCTATTAGGTAATAAAGTATTTTATTATTAGTCTATTTATTTAAGTAATAAATTCTTTCTATTTTGGGCCTATATTAATTCTATTGATAAATTATTCAGATACCATAAAGAGAGATGACTATATTTGATCATTTGCTTCATGAAATAAAGATTTACGCTCATTCATAAATTTACATAACTTATTACATAAGAAAATAGAGTAATAATAAAATAAATTTCATTAAAAATTCTTATTCCTAAAATACCTTCTAAGTTAATGATTAGTGTTAGCTTTAATCATGAAATTCAACTTAGAGACTAATTTGGATCAATTTTTAACAGTCTGGGAGTAAAGTGGTGTATTTTAAAGCCTTGAGACTAAATTGGTCACATGTTGATAGTCGGGGACTATTTTGGGCTGAAATATAGCATCTCACAATACAAATATTATATCAGAACACATAATAATACACAAAATGCATAATTTAAGTAACTTAGCTATACTTATAAACTCAAGGAATTCATTTCCACTTGACCCTAATCATAAGACCTTAATTATCCTACAATTTCTTGGTTGGCTTGTGCTCTAGTTATTGGCCCATCTCTCTTTGCATTGACACCTTATGCATCAAGTGCCACATCAATACACCTATACCTCAATTAACTCTTCTTTAAAGAGTTATTGTGACATGTAATAAGTGGTGGTGTGTCTATAGATGTTGGTAGATCATCATATGACACCATCAAAAAAAAGAAATCATTTACTTGAATAGATCATCATGTGTCTATGGACTAAATTGCGCTAACTTAGGAGTTTTCGTTTGTTCCTTCGAAATTTTCAAAGGAGGTGATTGGATAATCAATGGAATATGTTAAAAAACTTTTTATAGAAGATATTTGAAAATTTTTGTAATTTTTTAAGTAGTTTATGAGAGTAAAAGGTGGTAAAAATCAACTAGGTAAAATGGAAACCCCTGCCTAGTTGAAACCCACAAGTTAGTTTATGAATTTTGTGAATTAGTCAAATGATTGAATTAAGGGCGGAAACTATAGTATGTGATAGGGGTGTGAATAAAATATTTATGGAATTTATGAATTTTTTTTAAGAAGTTTAAGAGCTCCAAACATCGATGATAACAAGACTTGGGCCTTTTGTCTTGTTTTCCTAACAAAATTTTAAATATAAGATGAGATAGGGTTTCTTTTGGATCAAGTGAAGAAATTATTGGAGAATCACAATAAAGGCGTGGTAGAATGATTCTACAAAAACAAAATGAAAAAAAAAAATCAAAGATATGGAATGCATCTACTCACCAAAGTAGCATAAGAATGGAGATTAGTCACCAAACAACCTCCTCTGTGGAACTTGGCCACCATGCCTACTCCCTTACGTTTCACATTTAAAACTCACATTAAAACTTTGGTACAAAACATCAATAATCCTTTATTATAGTAAAACAACACATATTTTAACTCTTTTACAAAGTGAAGATTCAAATGAAAACGAGGTCATGAAAATAACCACTCCCAACTTGGCATGATCACCCACTTACACACTTAAGTCACTCTAACTTATTACATCATAAAAACATTATAAAATGACTTAAATATAACATCTATCCATACAAATATTATATCAAAACACATAATAGTTCACAAAATACATAATTTAAGAAAAATTGGCTATATTTAACCACTTGATCCAAGTTATAGGCCTTGATTAACCTCCAATTTTGTGGCTTGTGCTCTAGTTATTATCCCCTCTCCTTGCATTGGCAACTTATATATCATGTGTCACATCACATTGTCCATTAGAAAAGCTTGAAACAATAAGAAACATGATTAATAAAGTTACTAGCCAATCCATCATTCGCAACTTCTTTCATTTTATTTCTTCTGATCACAAGTCTAACCCTTGTGGAGGAAAGCTCGAGATCAAGCAAAAATACATTTTTACATGCCATCAATCTTCTTAGAGTAAGCTTGAGTTCAATTCCAACCTTCTAACATGGCCATCATGAAGATGGTATTATTCGACCAATTAGAAAGCATTTGTTTAAAACCGTCCTTTAGAAAACAATTATTCTCAAAAAAAAAAAAGAGAATTGTATAAAAGGGTTAGATAGGAGTCGAAAATAACAAAAGTGTAGCAAGAGAACATTTTTGTCTAATACCTTCGACCAACAATTAGGAATAGCATCTTCAATTCTAGGGAAAAAAAAACCAAGTTTACAGAATTTTTATTCTCACGCTTAATTTACTAAGTGAAGCACTTTCCTTCAATTCTAGGAAAAAAAAAAAATCAAGTTTACAGAATTTTTTATTCGCATGCTTAATTTAACATGAGAAGCACGTTATTATAAGAGAATGTCAATAAGACTGAATTTGCAAATTAAATCTAAAAAAAGGTAAGAAGTCTGAAACTATTAAAAGATCTCTCATTCATGGAAATAATATAATTTAAGTTGCCACAAAAAAAAAATTCAATTTGAAGATCATTTATACATTAACTTCATTCTAGAAGTCAAATTTATCAATCAAATCATAAGAATCATTAAAATTTGTCTAAATAAATTTTAGATGAATAAAGTCAAGAAAAAGAAAATAGCGCTAGAGAATATCTCAATGAAAATTTTAAAAAAATTACAATTTCTAGAGTTCTATTCACAGATAATACCACCAGCCCAACTAATTGCATTGAGGTTCTTAGAATTATTTTTCATAACCACAAATAGATTTGAGAGTGAAAGTAGAATTAATCAATCTTGATCCTTAAAGACAAAATATCAAATTGTTTATGCAAAATACATTCAAAAATCATGATTTTTTTTTTTTACCTTAGAACCCAGTCCTCAAACATTAGACTCCTATCTTAATAAAATTAAAATTGAATCCAAGCAAAGAAAAAAACATATAAGAAATTAATGAAAAGATCACTTAAAAAGTGAATTAGGAGAAATCCTATCTAGACTAGCGATAAGAAAAGTCGATTGCAAGTGACTTTAGAATTCAAATAAGGAAAGAAACCTTAACATAAAACAGGTAAAATGGTATATCATTTGTAGAGTTCATTCTTTTGGATGGTTTGTTATTATCGCTTCAGCTAGGAATCGGAACCTTCCATCTAATATAATGCATCGAGATTTTTGGCCTCTCAAAACAAAAAGAAACAAAGCTCTAGCATGTTGGGAAACAGCAAAGAGTTCCGTCTATAATATATGAAAAGCTGTTTTGTTTTTTTACAAATTTTTTTCTCCCACAGATCCATTTCATCTACATAAAGTTCATAGATTCCCAGGAAGGATACATGAATTACTCAACTCTGTGGTGTCTCGTAAGGCCTTGGAGCAGTTATGAAAAGACTGATTAAATTTTCCCTCATAAAAGAAGTCAAATGTCAGTAGGACAAAGAAAAATGCCATAACTTTACCAAAAGTGACAAAAATATTAGAATCCTAAATATCTGAATTTGTCCGAATCATATCTTTAAAGTTCAAAATGAGAAAGTTTTGAAGGAACTATTAAATGGCAGAGCGAGCCAATTTGAATTCCCATTAAATTATACAAGATCTAAATTCTTCAAAATAGGTAGGGACGGAAAAATTCATAAAAATTTGAATTTTAAAATGGCTCCAAGGGAATTTATTCATCATTAGAAAGATTCAACTTGCAATTTCCTTGAAACTTTAGAAAGCACTCACCATTCTCTATGTTAAATTGATATCAGCTTTAGAACTGAAATCATCAATCATATCATTATGAACAAAGTTGAATGGATTTGAATCTTCACCGGGAAGGACCTGACAGGAGTCTTAGCTTTATCAGGACTGGAGAGTAAAGACAAAAGATTTTCCACTGTTGTAAGTCCACCAACAAAAACCAAACAGCACATACATTCAAAATCAACAAAATGAACATGTAAATATAAAAGAAGAATGCGTAAATTATCAACTTCCAGCAGAAAAATTATGATGATCCAAACAAATAACATTTTTCAAATTTAGAGAGAAGAATATATTGCAGTTGAGTCCCAATAACAGAATGGTAACAATGTAGAGTGATCTAAATAGCCGTGCACCACTTCTTTATAATTGCTCCAACATTCTATTAACCATAAAAATGATCCCCATATAGTTCATACTACTTCTAAGGAAAGGACAATCCAATTTCTTTTCATTTAAATATGACAAAAAGTACCAGGCATGATTAATTGCTTTATCATTTTAGGAACACCACAAATCCCGCGTATAGAAAGATCTGACACATATTCAAAACCAAAAACCTAAATATGTTTCCTGTTCCCTTCAAATATGAGATATGGCATCTTAATAGCATCCTCTTTTATCCACTTAATTCACGATCAATAACTCAGTCCATGAAAATTTAACAAAGAAAACCAAAACATAAGAAAATTTTAGTCTCTAGCATTATGATCAACCTCCAAATAACTGTACCAATAAATGGAAAATTGAATCTATAATTCTTAAACAGAGGAGTTCTAGAAACTCAAATGATAAGTTTTTGGCACAAAACTCTTACCATGCAAACATAAGAATGCTCCTTGAATCTAGGGGATGACCAAGAAGAATCTTTGATTCTTCAAATATTGTTTGAGGGTTTATCGTTCCAAGAGGCCACTATTCTCCTTTTCACCAATAATGACTCCATCTAGGATAGTCTAAGTCTGTTGACTACATTCTTCATGATAAAATAATCAAATCAATATCAATATTAACCATTCCAAGCCATCATGAATACGGCTATCACATAATTATGAGTAAATATATTAATTAAACGAATGGAAATCATATATTTTTCAAATGTCTCACCGAGAAGGAAAGACCAAGTATTGACACAAATAATTTATCCAGTGAGCTATCAAAATAGTAGCACAACAAGAAAAAAGAATGAGCCATTATGGTGAGGTCATCTCACACAATCGACAAAATCACAAAAAAGAGCAATTTATAGGTTCATGGTGAAAGCATTGATACTGCTCTTCTAATTAAGCACTATTACTTGTTATTAATCCAGAAAGAAAACATGGTATACCGAAATTTGAAAACGTTATTTAAATATTTTAAATGGAGCTCAATAATGAGGAAGTATGCATAAACCTTCAATATCATAAAAGCAATTTTTAAGTAGGTCAATAGATTTGTACCATATGCAATGGGCTTTTCCTCCTCAGTACTTCTTTCTACCTCAAAAAGCTCCTCAAGGGGATTTCTAGCTTTATTAACTGAAGTTGAAGTACAAAACAAAGCGACAGCGGACTCGGATTTAGTAGCAGACAATAAAACTCTGCTAAGAATCCTCGACATGAACATGGTGTGACACCAAATTCTGCAAGAGAACTTAACATTATTAAAAATTTAGAAAGAGAAAGCAATATGTGTTAAGATGAAATAGAAACATTCCTAGATTTGTACCTAGATCACAATGTTACACAAGTTTGGAATTTGTCAGCAAACAATAGATTTCCCACAATCTTGGATAACATAATCCTAAAATGAGAAAAAAAAAAAAAGTTAAACACAAAAACCATGCAAGGTGAAGAATGAAGTGATAAAAATATGCTCTAGAATTGAAAGAGGGGTGCATTTCGTTCAAATGCATGCTAAAATTAAAAATAGAAAGGTTACACAATGGCTATTTGAGTTGCCATCAATCATGAAAAAGGAAAATAGGCACCAGGATGAAAAACCAGAAAGAAAAAGGTCTAAGCAATGACTTTGCAGCCAAGCAGCTACTGCACGAACAATTAACTATAACAAATTTAGCAACATAAAAATAGCAAATGTTGCATGAGAACCCTTTCAAAGGAAAATTCAAGCAAAGTTGGTTATTTGTAAAATCAATCAGGAGATGCTGAAAAGTTTGAATATTCAGCCAGACGACTTATTTATCCTATCGGACTCTCATTTGGAAGTCTAAAGTAACCAAACCTTGAAATTTAATTGATATAAGTAAAGTGAAGGCGCATATTTCAATGCCTAAGCTTTTAAATTATATATATACACACACAGGGATGCAAAATATACAATCTTGAGGTGAGATCATTACTCAAGGTTGGCTCAATTTTTTTTTTTTTTTGTTTGGAATCAATCTGAGCTACAACTAACCGGCAATAGGCTGCTGCAATCCAACTTTAAATGGAGCCAGATCAGGCTCATTAATTTGGATCTGAGCGGGAAAAAAATATTTTCAATCTGAAAATTTGAAAAATGTTCAAAATGGAACTAATAAGAGCTGTTTGGTAGCAGGATTCAAGCAGAATTTACGCAGGATTTAGCCTAAATCCTGCCAAACGGCAAAAAAAATAGCCTCTTTAAATCTTACAAGTACTTAAAAAGCCGAATTTAGAGAAGATGAAGCGCTCGAATGCGGGCGGAGGCGGGTGGTGCGGAGAGAGAGTTACCTTCCTCAATTGTTTCTGGTAGTAGCGGAGTGGAAGGAAGAGAAATATGGGAGTTTCGGATATCTTTGTATGCCGAGAACCCGTCGTTGCCTACCCAGCTTGCTCTAACCGGGACTGTATTGCCAGCGTTTGGTCAGGAAGGAAATGGTTTAGACAAAACTGGTAGACGGACGTCGGCAAGGGTTTCGGGCTGGAGAAAATATTAGATGGGACGGCGGGTGGCAAAATAAGAAATACTTGATATATAAAAGTTAAAAAGTAATTTGATTAGGAGCAATCTTATTTACTAATATGGCGCCTTTATAAATTGGTAGGACTCAATTTCTCAAATTAAAAAAATTATGCAAAAGTTATTTTTTTGCATGACCCGACATGAAGACAGTCTAATGCATCTAAAAATAAATGTGCGGTGCTCAAATCTTGCACTGTTCGTAAACTAGCATTGTTTTCCTACGATTAGGGTTCAGGTGATATTCTTCTATTACTTTCGAAGAACAAAAAATACATTACTTTTTTGAGATGGAAAATGAAGATTTTTGTGTTGATAATGAAATGGAGGTGAGTCTTGTTGCAATTGAAATGGCAACATTCGTTAATGTTTGTTTGTTGTTTAGTATGAAGATTTTGTTTGAAGTTTCACCTAATGTGGCTTCTGGTATGCATTTCTTCTGTTTAAATCATACATAGTATTTTTATAGTTTTTGAATAAATATATTATGATTTTATAAGCTCTCATTTGTTTCTTTCTGAGGTAGAGCGAATGTTTGCTTTATTTTTAAGAAAAAAATGCAATATTTCAAAGGCAAAAACAAAATATGACCAGAATAATACCTCATTACTACCACCGTTCCACCAAAGATCTAACACATTATCACAATAATACAACCAAAAGGCCACACAATATTACTTCAATATCGTTAAAATAACTCCAAAACAACATCATAATATCACCGTAATACTAGAATACCACCAAATACCATAAGAATATACCCAAAATAAAATAGTATGTTGTCATATAATGGTGTTATAGTTTTATCATGATGGTATGTTGGTAATATTCTAGTGGTATTCTGATGGTACTCTTAATTCTGGTGGTATTTCTATGGTATACTGGTAGTAGTTTAATGGTGTTATTGTGGTATTAGACAGTATTCTATATGTTTACTGATGATTTTTCTGTGTTATTTTAGTTGTTTAATGTTGATTTTTGTGTGGTATAGTGTGCTTGTTGTTACTCTTGTGTTATTTTAAACCATTTTGGTAACACTTTTTTTAACAATATGTATACATGCGCAGTTTAACAAGCCAAGGAGTGTAGGTAATGATCTAACTGTAGATAGATTGCTTGGTATCATTTTGCAGAATTAAAATGATGCATATAATTTATATTGTGCTTATGCACATCATATTGGATTTACCGTTTGAAAGGACCATGTCAGTTATTTGTCAAACTCAAGGAAAATAAAAATTAGGGGTTTTTTTATGTGGTAAAATTGGGTTTAAAAAGGAGCTTACTCTAAAAAACACTGTGAAGTTTAAAAGAGCAGAGACCGAGATAGGTTGTCCAACTATGATTCGAAATAATGTTGATGTTGATGGCAATTGGAAAATTTGAAAACTTATGGAAAGTCATAACTACTCCCTGGACGAGCCAGATGATCAACATCTTTTTGAGATCTAGCTGAAGCTAGGGGTGCAAGTGAGTCAAGCCAACTTGTGAGCCAGCTCGAGCTTGGGTCGATAAGTGGTTTGTGGACTGAGCTCGATGAACTAACAAGCCAAGCTCAAGCCAACCCTGACTTGACCTAATGGCTTGTGAGTTGGCTCGTTTATAAAAATATTAGCATTAAATATACTCAAAATATATCAAATTTCAAAACTTTATCTTTAAGGTATTGAAAATCTTAAAAAAAATAATATTTTTTATTGTATATTAGGTGATTTCTTATTATTTATCTACTAATTGTTCATTATATCTGTCAACTTATTAAATTTATTTAAACTTAATATAATTTTATTTCTTTTATATTAAACAAGTCGAATCGCAAGTCGACTCAAACTCGTAGATTTAAACTCGAGCTCCAGCTCGAGTTTGATAAAACTAATGAAGCTTAAGTTTAAGTCGAGGGCGGCTCGAGCTCAACTCAAATTGTTTACACCCCTAACCGAAGCATCAGTGAAATTAATGTAGATGTGTTCAATTCAATGACAAAAGTAGGTATTGAAGCTAATGATGTATTCAACTTTCTTGCATTGGAAGTTGATGGAGTTTAGAATTTGAATTTTCAAAAAAATATGCATTCAAATTTCTACAAAAGGAAAGAAGAACGGGGATTGAGAATAGTGACACCAATGTTTTAATTCAGTTATTCATAGAAAGGCAAGTTGAAGTTAATATGATTACGTGGGATTTCTAAACCAATGAATCAGGTAGGTTGATGGGTTTTTTTTTTTTGTAGCGAGGGCAAGTAAAGGTTTGATTATGACTGCTTCAGGGATGTCATAATTTGTTATACAATTTATTGATTGAATAAATATAACTTATATTGTGCTCTTTTTATTGGGGTAAACCATCACTGACAAAGTGTGTTTTTTGGAGTACATTTTTTATTTTAGGAGACTATCGAGCCCTTAAATTGGATATTCAAGACATTTCTTTGTAAAATGGGTGACAAACATCATTTAACAATCTTCACTGACCATGATCAAACAATAGAAAGAAGCACAGAAAAAATCATTGTCACGCACTCACCATAAATTATCTCAATAACATATATTCAAGAAATTTCCCTAAAAGGTACATTGTTCCTTTGATAATAAAGTAATAAGCGATCTATTTTATACATGCATGAGTAAATGTTATTGAAATTAAGAGTTTAAACAAATATGGGCAAAGATGTTTGAAAAAATCAATCTCTACTATATTGTTTGGCTACATAATCGGTGCTACATTAGAAAGAGGTGATTTGCTTGGGAATCTATCCACACAATGAAGTGAGTCGACAAATAATGTGTGTCATGGCATTTCTAAGCCTACAAGTTTCATCACTGATTATTTTTCGGGACTTGAAATTTTCATGGAAATATGGAGACGAAATGAGAATGATGGGGACTTTAAATGGACCTGATCTTCAATTGACCCCGTTGTTATATAAGCCCTGTGTTGAGGCATGTCGTTGCATTCTATTCAAGAAAACTATACTCATTAATTGTGAAAGAATTTTTACATGGTGTAAGTGGTCTTGCAGTAGAAAAATGTGATTGAAGTTCTTCGGAATATTCTAACAAAAATTTGGATAATAATATGACAAATAAATGTTGGATAGTTAATTTTGACAAAGATATAAGTTGTAGTTGCAATAAATTTGAGATCATAAGATCATTATGTGCCCAAGGCATAAGAGTTATCAACAAAGAAAATGTAGTGAAGATAACGAATAAATATTTTCTGATGTGATGGTCTTCAAATGCTAAGTGAGATTTCTATTTAGGGAATAATTATAAAAATTTCAAAGGGTTGCAGCTTGGGAATGGTTCTTCAAGTGGTGTGATTGTTCAAAACCACATTCATAAATATTCATATCAAATAAGCACAAAAGCCCAAGATAATGAAGAGGTTGAAAAATATATCTTGTAGTCTTTGAAAAAAATGTTTGTCGATGTTGACTCAATAATCAGTGGGAAAACTCTCGCATTGAATAATAGTCAGAAGAACAAAAAAGACCCTGAAGAAAGAATGCACCGTAAAACTGAAGAGCCCATCAAAGATGTGCCCAAATGGTATTTCTAATGCTAGTTTAAAGGCACATTGGAAGAAAAAAAGAGAGCTAAAATTAAATATTATATTATGTTTTGTGTTTGTTCATATGAAACTTTACTTTTTTATCATTATCACTTACTAATACATTGTAGTTGAGCTAATTTGTTAACTATTTTATATCACAGGAAAGCATAACTAACCTATATGACATGAAAAACAAATTGGCTTCCTAATTGTTATCCATTTTTTTATAAGACTAGATTGTGCCATGGAGGTATAATATTAACACCATCATTTAAACTCATTTTTTATTCCTTATTTTATATACATGTTTTTTAAAAAAATTTTTGCAATAAGTAAATTAAAATTACAAGAATTATTCATATTTTCAAGCGCACCACAATCAATGAAAACTTATACAAGTTTAATAATGGAAGAACATGTTTTGTTATTAGGAACAAATAATTTTCTTATGAGTTTTCATTAGGAGCAAATAACTTTCATTGTGATTTTGCTGTTGGAATCAAATTGTTTTGATGTCCTAAAATTTATAAATTTATTCATCATTTTGGAAAATTAATCTTGTCGTGTTATCAAAATACCATTAAAATATCACACAAAATACCACTAGAATATTATCATAATAACACAATAATAACACTAAAACAAGATTACTACATAGGGGCAGAATGTTCATTTATCCACAATCAGCTGCAAATCAGTTGTTTTCTAAAAGACAAACTAAACAACCAACCAGCTTATCTGGATCAGCTGCTTATCAGCAGATTGTCAATAAGCTGCAGCTGCCACAAATAGACCCTTAATTTTTAAAAAATTGTTTAATATTCTCTTTGAAACTGTAAGTGTAATCTACTAGTTTTTGCAAGAATCACATAATTATATCTCTTTGTAAGAAATTCATGAGTATAACCATATCTTTACACATTCAGGTCTGTTTGGGGCAACTGCAGGTTATTAATAAGCTGTTGATAAGCAACTGATCCAAAAAAGCTGTTGATCATTAGCTGAACTGAATAAACTGGTTGGTCGTTTGGTTTGTACTATTGGAAAATAGCTATTTTGTAGTTGTTTCTGGATAAATGATCACTCGACCTCTGTGCAGTAATGTTGTTTGCAACAGAATAGTCATAGTAATATATTTGATACTTGAGAAGCCAAAAACTACTTCAAAATAGTAAAAAAATATGATACACACTCACTTAACAATGAGTAACAATTTTGCTAAAAAAAGGAAAAAAATATTATAATTACAACTAAAAATATGATAATAATAATTTTAAATTCCAGACGATGTATGTTACAAGCTACCTCGTCCTCCAGGGATATCATCCAACCCTAATCACTATCGGAAGTGGAATCTATCAGAGTGTTTGCCCACTAGAAGAAGTCACACAGCTCTGTGATACCCCACGGGCACCTGTAGAACCGTCTCCCATAACTATGTGCCCGGCGTGAC